AGCCAAGCAGGTTCAGTTCTCAGTTCAGTTTCTACATTAGTAAAAACTTCTTCGTTCTCAGAGTAAACCTGTTCGTATTTGTAACTAATATAAGGCACCTTGGTCAGCAGGAGTTTCCTTTCAAGTTGTAGAGGAGAATTACTATAAAGGGCTACTATTCTCCAGAGTTGTTGAATATGTTCGTAGTCAATGCCACATGTGAGAAATGTTGAGAATGATATTTTGAGTATTGTATTGTCACCATCATTGACAAATGAGACTGGGAACATTTTTGTAGGTCTCTGAACATTGCAAACCAAGTTAGCTTGATTTCCTGTTTGGTCAGTCATGTTCAAGATCATAGATCCTATGGGAGCTATGAAATCTTTAGGAGATACAGAAGTGAAGTCCCCTTCATCTGGCAAAGTAATGTTTTTAAATTTCAGGGAAGGATCTATGGTTGGCTTGGTACAAGTTAATGCAGCAGGTGGAATCTCAACTAAATTTTTGCCCTTGGAGTTCCTGGGATTAGCACAAACTGGGCACTGCTGGGCACTGGAAGAAGCCCTGTCTTTCTTGCACTTCACAACATCTAGGGGAATTAAAAATAATGCAATAAGTTTTTGGAATAAAAGTTCTAAACAACAATTTATAATCAACAATTTTACAAGGTTTGTCTTAAAATAAAAGGTGATAACACATGGATATGGTGATCTTAAAGTGGCCATCAGCTTTTGTTTTGTTTCTTAGTCTATTAGTAATTTTTTGGCTTGATAAATATTGCTCTCACAACTAATAATCACGCTATCACCAGTTTGTATTATTTAGCACCTATATGAAGATCTCAGTGATTCACAATTTTCCTTGACTTAGTTGTGACATATAGCCATAGCTGCCTTTGGGAAGCACAGAGACCAAGTAGGAGCTTTGGAGGTTGTTATGCTATTGTGTCCAACTCTGTGCAGGGCAGCCAAAAAACAGAAAAAGTCCTTGTCCCTTCTTCCTAACTTGTGTAGCTTCATAGAGGACACAATAGACATAACTATTTTTAGAGGTAAGTAATTATTAGTTTTCTTATTTTAACACAGGTAAAGAATAGAGAATTGGTTCAGATGGTTTGGCAGGGATGATCCTACTAAGTGTATCTACACGTGTGCTTTACTGCAGTTGACTATTTAGCTGCATAGTAAAGTGTCACTGTCTACACACATGCCCATATTAGGATGCAGTAAATTAGTTAACTCTGCTGTAAGATAGTACTGTTTGGGACAAGTACTAGCCTACAGTGGAGTAATTTACACCACTGCAATGCATGTGTAGATAGTTATTAGGGCTGGCTGGGGCATGACGGTGCTACAGTGCAGGGACTTCCTGCTGGCTAGCCCCACACTGAAGTGCCGTCATGCCCCAACCAGCCCTTCCACTGCCCAACATGACCACCTAGAGCCCAGAGCTAACCTTCTCCTTTTATTTCTGCTAGAAATAAAATCCAGATTTTTTTGGCTTCCATTCTGTCCTTTTATCCACAGGACACTCTTTCCTTTCCATCTCATTTTTCTCCATGCAAATGTCTAATAGCACTTTGGTAGCATCAACTACTTAGAACTTATGGGGTTATGAAAACAAATTAGCTCAGAAATTTGTCTGAAGAAAGCTGATTATTCTTGTAAATAATAATTGGTATTTCTGACACTAACAGGAGAATATTCTTTAACATAACATTAAAACAAGCAAAATCAGAATGTTGCTTGCTTTGGTGAGCAACATGTCTAGAACAGAGGTGATTAAGCTTTTGTCCCCATGGGCTAGATAAGCAGTGCAGACCTGGTCCACAGGTCAGATCAAGTTCTGCACACCAGATTTCTACACCCAGCCCTGCACATCTGGATAGGGCCTCATATAGCCCTCAGACTCAGTACCATCTTTGCCCAGCCCTGCATGCCCTCAGACTGCCCACACCGAGCCCCATGTGCTTGATTGGAGCTTGCATCGGCTCCATGTCTAATCTAATATGAAGGATCCCAAATTTTCAGACCTGTGGGGGGTCCCATATGCTAGATCACACAGTGCCAGGGCTAGATCTGGCCAGTGGGCTGGAGGTTGAACAACCATCATAAAGGATGAACAGAAACTGTTACAAAGTAATGTTTTACACTTTCAAAAGCATTGCTGTATTAATGACTCATCACTCGCCTGTCATTTAATTACTAATTTGGCAAAGACTCTGCTCGGAATATGATTACATTCAATTACTAGTAATCATAATATTACTTGGCACTTAAATGGTACATGCACTTCATTAATAGCAATCACAGCACTTTCCAACTGTTAGGTATTTTCTTCATTTTACAAATGGCCCTGAGAATGTAAGGTCAAACATCAAGTCAGAATTATAATTCAGTCCTCTAGACTCCTATTCCTCCTCCCTCTAGACCAGAGGTGCTTAACCCCTGGCCCAGAAGCCAGATCTGGCCCACAGAGCCATGTCATCTAACCCTCAGGACTTCCTGAGTGTCCAAAAAATTAGCAGCAGGAGAGTGATGGCATCATTAATTGCCACTCCCCCACTGCCACGCATGAGGAGCTCTGCAGGCTGGATAGCATAGCCCATATATCAGGCATGGAGGCTGGAGCAACACAGGACTCAGTCCAGATGCCTGGGATCTATTCAGAATAGGGTTTGATTTGGGTACCGTGTCCTGAAGATCCAGCCTGCAGACTAGCTGACACTATCCATCTATCCCACGGGGCCAAAAGCTTGAGCACCATTGCTTTAAATAATGGTGCCTCTGTTGCAAAGAACCTAGTGTAAGTCACCAAAATTTAATTAGGAAACACAAATAAACAGAAATCTTTCATCTCGCACTGTACCTTGTTGCTTTTGTACCCAGTCAGCAAACCATTGTAGATCACAATCACAGGACCAGGGGTTTCCATGAAGGTATATACTCTCTAACTCAAGCAAATAGGAAAACATATCTTGTGGCAATGAAGTTAAGAAGTTGTCAGACAAGTATATATGCTTTATGGAGGATATTTTAAATATCTGGAGGTAGCACAAGGTGACAAAAGTGTCTGGATGAATCTGTCTAAGTAAATTTCCTTCCAAATGAACCAGCCTCAGAGATGTAAGTCCATAGAAAACTTTTGGGTTTATAAATTCAATTCTGTTGTGATCCATGTGCAATCGTACCAAGCTCTTGAGACCATGAAATGTGTCCTTCTGAAGTATTCTGACTTGGTTATAGCTCATTTTTAAAACCTGTTGATGAAAAAGTGGGGTGGGGGGGTAGAGCCAAGTCTTATTAAGAGCTATAATATACTGTTATTGTTAGAAGACATCTAGCCAGATATGAATTAGTCTATTAAGAAAAAGTGCCTACATACTATGGATCCGCCCTGCTCCCATGAATAGATTGTTTGTTTGTTTTTTAGAAACTTCTTTCTAAACATATTTATGAGCAGGCACAACTCCAAAGATACCTTCTTAATCAACAGATCAGTCAACATAAAGCATGCAGACATGTTTGGAAAATATAGTTACTGATGGTCAACTCCTGCTCACTCTAATTCAAAAACCCAGTTACACAACTTCTATGAAGGAAATAAGCAGAATTTGACTGTACAATACGTGTCTCTCTTTTTTCCCCTCTAGTTTGTACCAAACACATATCTAACAAACATAAGAAGGTAAATGAAATTCTACTTTGACTAACATGACTGATAAAACTGGTAACTTGCCAACAGCTTGAATTTTTATTTTGGTGGTAATATGCTAGCTAATGATCAACTTTCAGATACTGCTTGGCAGCCTGATAATTAGAATGCTATCTTTGAAATCTAAAGTCAGCAAATTTGGCAGGATATTACTGAAAGGTAGTGAATGTAGAATCCCACAATCTGTTTTATACAAGCTTTTTCCAGATCAGAATCATAAGTTACATACATTAGAACCTTCTTAATCCTTCAAATAGTTTGAGGAACAACTATATATTACTACATTTTGCAAGTGTGTGAGTAATCAAACAAAACATATAGCAGTTATAATGCATAAATCTACTTTTATTTGTCGAATATAATTCAGATGTAGCTATTTATGGATGTGTGTAGACGAAACGAGGGGCATATGTGCACAACACTTTAAAGCAAGTTAAATTCCTTTGCACTGCTTTAATGGTGTTGGTGTTTGCATGCATCAGCAGTGTATTGCACATTTAATTCTAGCCGCTGTAGCACATTTGGTGGCATAATGCGCCTTAAATGACTTTGGGGTGCAGCAAACTAAAACACCACTGAGGAGTTTGAGTTTAGTTTGCTGCCCTACAGCTGTGGTGCAGAGCACCAGGCTCTGTAGGCAGCCCATGCAGCCTGATCTCCCCACCTGCCCCCACTGGAGCTTTCTTGCCTGCATGAACTGCAGTGCCCCCTGGGACTGCCCAAGCCAGGTGCCTGTGGGTGGGTGCTACCTGCAGGGTGGGGGCACCACTGCCACAGAGGGAAGTACCAGCCTCTGCTCCTGCCCCTGCAGCCCAGGGACTGCTCTGCCCGTTGGCAGCTCACCCTCCCCTCCCCACTGCTGCAGAGGCAGGTAAGATGGGTGTACATGACACGGGGGTTTACTTTGCCCTAAATTAAAGTGGCATTTTTAAAAACCTACCTTCATTTTAGGGTCCCCATTTTGTCTATATATGCCCTAAAGCTATAGTTCAGTCAGTTCATTAACAGCAGCTGTCTACATCAAAGTTTTAGCTGGGGAACTTTTAAGTTCCTGTCTACATATTGAGTTATTCTGGAACATCTATTCCTGAATAACTCCATGTGCAGACACATGTATTCCAGAACAAGGCACTTTCACATGTGTACTGGGGTGTGTCCACACATGGAGCTAGGCCTAGCCTACACCACAAAGTCGAGCTGGTAGAATTCAATCTCTGCCAGCAAAACTTTGACTGCATTCACACTCAACCCCTCTGTGCTGGCAACACCTATCAGTCTGCCAACAGAGTTGCTCTACTTCTGCCTAGCAGCCCAGGTGTGTACATACTCCTGTGCCTTCAACTGGCTACTGTAGTCCATTCAGCTGCCTGTGCCATCCCATCATGCACCTTGTGCTCTGGTGGAACAGCTGCTGAGTGGGGCTGCTCAGAGCTTCCAGAAGCACATCACTTTGCAGGTGTCCAGGTGAGTTGGCAGTGGCAGTTGCGGGCTTCTATCAGAACTTCCTGGCACCACAAGTACAGACAGAGCTATAGGCATGAAGAGATGTTCCAGAATAAGTCCATGTGTTGACAGGCACTTACTCTCCTCAGCTGCTAGAGGGCTCTTCTGAAAATTCTCCTCAGCTTTCTATGGTAGCTATGAGGCAGCTCAATGAAGTGCAAAGTGCTCTGATGTCCAGTTGTTGGAGCTCCCATCCAGCCAGTAAAATGTGCACTAATCCAGCCTGAGGCATTGCAGCAGTTGTCCTATGTAACTTCTCATCTGGAAAATGGAAGGACTATATTTTTAAAGGAACGTGTGAGCTGCACACAATTTTTGTCCAAAGATAACAGTAATCCTTTACATTATTTCTCTAAGTGGACAATCTGCCCCAAGATAGAAGCACCTCTCATATCATAATTTATAAAAAAAAAAAAAAAAGTCATTGTTATACAATACCTTGCTACCACAGTCTCTTACTTCTTTGTGCAAATAGTGGGATGCCTAAATTGGCAAGGATTTGCTCTCATGTTCACCAGTGTATTCCTTGAAATAAAGCACCAAATACTACAATACATAGGCTGTTTACAGACATAAAAAACCCAAATGTCACTTTAAACTCCATGCATCCCTGCACCGAGCCCGTCTCGTACTCAGAAGAGGCATCACGTTAGTTTGACCCAGCTCACCCAACATCTGTATAGACTGGGCACTTTGGCAGGGCTCTTTTGGCACTTTTATCTTGTAGCTGATTGAATTAGCTATGAGATAAAAGCATGATCTATACAGACGCTTCAGAGCCACGTTGAACTAAGACACTGCCTCTTCTGGTAAAGTGCATGTTTTCACATCTGTCAGCAGCTATATATATTATTATAACACTAAGTAACTATGGCATTCCCAAGTGTTAGAATATAACATTTTCAGTAGGACTTTCTTTGCTGAAGTATGAGAAAGCAGCAAAACTACAGCTTGATGGAATATGATTCTTCTTAAAATGTATTAATTTAGTGTCTCAAATTAATAAAAGAAAACATTGTTACCAAAGATATACTGGGAGCTTTGCAGACTTATTTAAATCCATTAATACAAAGAACTGCAATCGTAGTTATACTACCTAAATATAGTGATGTAGATATCTACTTTGACATTTATACTATGCTCATTAAATGGTATCTGAATGCCTATTTGTGACTGAATAAATTTCCTATTGGGATATTGTATTACAGCTTAGGGCTATTGGGAAGGGAAAGATAATGACTTCCTTTAAGTACCTCACACTTCATTTAGCAGCCATTTGAAACTGGAAACTAGTGTAGCTGGGGCTACTAATCTATCATTTGTTAAATCTGTCATAGACCATAGCATTCCTAAAATGAAGTCATCTTCCACTTTTAGCCCTTACCTGTAATGAATGTAAATCGATGAATGTTTTATCAGGAATTGTATGGATCTCATTGCTGTGTAACATCAACAACTCCAGTTTCTCCAAGCCAGAAAAGTCTGTTTCAGTGAGTTTAACCAAGCTGTTGTAACTGTAACAAACATTTCATTCCAGATCTGAATTTAGTCAGCTAAAATTCAAAGGTAAAAAAACCAAAAATGACTCTCATATTAGAAAGATTTTCTCACTTGAGAAGGAAAAATTTAAATCCTCTCCACTTAGACCCAAATTGATTATGCCAGCTTATTTCACGTGGATAAACAAACCAACTGCCATGGGTATTAGAGTGTTTATTATTAATAATTCTTATTTATATTGTGGTAGAACAAAATCTGTGTTCAGGACCAATATCCCCTTTTACTGGGCATTTGATAGGGGGGTGCACCAATAAAAATTGTTGGGCTAATACTGATAGCCAATTAATAGTGAGCCCTGTTGGCTGATACCAATCCAATTGCCGATATGCAACCCAGCAGCTTGGAGAACAGTGTCCAGCTGGTAAGTCGGTTGTGGGAGAAGGGACAGGGACAGGGAAGGTGTGTGGGGAGCAGAAGATTGAGGCTCCCATGGTGAGGGAAAGAGTGGGGCTGGGGCGGGTGCTGCCTAGCCAGGGTAGGGCACAGAATGGAGCCACAAGCAGCTGGTCTGGGGGGAGCAGAAAGGAGTGGGGGGGCACTCCCATCACTGTGTGCACCCCTGAGGGAGGCATGGGGGGGTGCATGTGCCCCCCAGATATATGCATGGAATGAGGGGGGGGGCTGCCACTGTGGGCTGGGGCCATCGGTGGCACTAGGCTCTTCCCAGTGAGGGTGTGGGCTGGGGCTGCACTCAGGGTGAGCACTGGTGGTGCTGGGAGTGAGGGCTATGGGCCCTGCCCCTCCCAGTGCTGCTGCTGCCTGCCGTGAGCACAAATCCCCGCTGGGAAGAGCCCGGTGCTGCCCTGAGCCCCAGCCCACAGGGCAGCCCGCCCTCAACCCATGCATAGATCTGGGGGGCATGTGTCCACCCCATGCTTCCCCTTGGGTGTGCACATCAGTGGGAGCTGCCCCACCCTCCCCATGTCCCCTGGATGAGCCACTTGTAGCTCCGTCTCATGCCCTGCCCCAGCTGGGCAGTGCCTCCTCAGCCCCACTCCCTCCCTCACTGAGGGGTCCTCAATCTGTCCCCCTCATACCCCTTCCCCCTTCCCCCACAACAGACTTACCAGCCACATGCTGCTGCCAGGCTGGCCATGTGCATGCTCTTACTGCACGCATGCACATAGCATTTATCGGCAGCATTATCAACCACATCAGCCAAAAAAAGCTGATTGCTGATAATATGTTTTCCTTTTATCGGTGCCAATATGATATGGACCAATGTATCTGTGCAACTCTAGCATTTGATCATAGTAGGCCTGATGCCATGTCCATTTAAATTCCTGAAAAGGCTTCCATTGGCTTCAATAAGCATTAAATAAAACCCTTATCATGAAGCCTAGGTCATCTTAAGAACCGAAAAACTCACCATCTCCTTGTTAAATAAGGGTATGTCTGCCCAATACAGTATATATAGCCATACCTGAGTTGCATGTAACCTGATAACTGGTAATAGTGATGGGATTCAGCACGAGCTGTACAAGCATACCCCAAATCCTTAATGAGTTTTTAATAGCCAAAACTACTGTTTTGCCATGGCTTGACTGCTATCTAGGACCTCAGATAACTATAGTACGTTAAAGCTAGCTCAGTCATAGCTACTATTATTCACACCTCCCAACTCACCCCTCCCAAATGATTCAAGATTGTCTAGTCTATATAATGAACTTTTTATGTGAAGTTGCTGATTGCCTTTGTTTGATTGTAGTCTTAAGATTTTTATAGTGCACCATTTACAGATAACCATATTTCTGGAAAGTTTTAGAAATATACAGGGACAACTGAGTTAGGATAAAATCAAAATCATTACCCACCTCCACTGCCTATGTTTTGAGACTGAGATATTTAAGACAGTAGATGTTATTTCGTATCTATCTGGTCATTTGAAATGGAAAAAAAGCCTACTTAGTATTTTTTCACTTCTAACAATTTGGTCTGTCCAGAGTATAAGTGGGAGTGCTGGCATGCATCATGATGGTACTTTTGAGGGACTTATGTTCTCACAACAGACCTGTGAAGCAAAAAGTATTATCATCTCCATATGACACGCAGTATTTGAGGCTTCTTACAGATAGGATCTCACAGAGATTAAGTAGTTTTCCCATGGTTATATAGCATGTCTGTGGCAGAACTTGTGGTGTGACCACATCTACAAAATTTCCAGCCCAGGGCCTTAACCATAAAATCCTCTTTCTTTTGTAATGATTATCTAAATTCCAGGTCCCTTTTGGGTTTAATTTTACTGATTCAAGAGGCTCAGATAAATATTAAAAAGAACTTTAGCAGAAAAGCTTTGGGATATTCTTGCATGCTAGTGATAGTCATGATTTTGCTGCAAAGGTAGCAGGGAGGAAGAAGGTGAAATTGAGCATCAGACTGACAGCTGTAGATAAGGAAAAGCGAGTAAAAATGATAAAAACCCTGAAAAGCTGCAGCTGCTTTTATAAGTTGCCTTTTAATAAATATTATTTATTTATTTTTAAATAAATTGCCCCTATATGAGTATTTAGGGTTTCTGGGTGTCAGTTTTTCTGTTTTGTGAACTATGGCTCAAATAAATTAATTTTGCTCTTAATGTTAAAAATGATTTTCCTTAAATTATAAAACAACACAGCACCAAACAGCATGGGATATGAGTAGGCTTTGCAGGCTCTCACTGCAACCAATTCTGAATACTGCAAAGCACTCAACTGTAGTTTCTTTACAAGCTACATCTGATCTCTCATGTCTTTTTGTGCTTTGATGTTTGCTCAGTTTTGACCCAAACCCAGAAACCTGGGTTACATTTTGCAAGGCAGTGAGAGACCATGACACAAAATGGTTAAAATGCTGCTGTGAAACTTACCCTAAATTGATGCGTTCCACATTTTGGGGTATGCGTGGTGGAATGGCTGTGAGGTACCGGAAAGTACAGTGCACCTCAGTGGGGACATAGCAGGCACAGAGCCTAGGGCAGGCACTACTGGTGGGAAGAACAGCCAGGCATACACTGAAGAGAAATCTGAGCAACCAAGGTTTGCCTCTGTCTGTTGCTTTCATCCTGTGCGATGATCCTAAAACAACATCCCTCACAGCAAGCATGAAAAAATGTAACCTAAAAACAAAAGAAAAGCCACAAGCAGTTATACTGTGACATCAATATCTGGTATTTTAAGTGTCAGTACATGCATTGTCTAACTACAGGTTTTTGTTAGAAAATATTGCTAATGCACAAACTCTGGGATTTCCCACATTTTTAGATCTACATACCGCTCAGGGGCATGTATGGTTTTACACAATTCCTTCACAGTTGCTTGCTTTTTAATGAGAAGCACCGTGGGTGTTGTTACTTATTAGGTACAGTAAAGAAAACGAAACCTGCTGCTCTGAGACGATTGTTACCAATGTCTGACTCCAGTTATTTAGGGCATTCATAAATCTGCTTGTAATTTATCCCCGCCAAAGAACACGTCAGCTCCCTTCTTGCCAAGCAATTACTCCAAACAAAATTAACTAATTTCAAAGAGTCTGGGCTAGTTCAACACTCAGGATGTTGGAGCGACACGTTCGTGTTTCATCCTGTTCCTTCTCTTCTTCAGACACCCCCGCCGCGGCTGCGGACCGGCTCGGGCACGCCGAGGCGCCTCCTGCAGGCGTGCGCCACAGCCCGCGGGCTGGGTGGGCTCCGCGCGCCGTGCCCCTTTCAGCGCCACACCTGGGTGGCGTCTACGTGAGGGGCAGCTTTGAAGCCGTTTCCAACCCCGGACTCGTTCATAGGATGAAGCTGCTGCTGCCCCCGCTGGTTCAGCGCTGCCGGGAGCCCCGCCACAGCAGGAGCAGCACCTCCGACACGCTGCCCACGCCGCGGGGCGCCGCGCGGGTCGCACTCGCAGCCGCCCAGCTCCCCCGGCCCCTACCTGCGCCTCGGGCAGCCTCCTCGGCGGGGAGATGCTGAGCGAGGCCACCGCAGGGACAGCCGGGCGGGGGGCTCCCGACCTGAGCCCGG